AAAACAACTTTTAAAAACTACTTATGTTTGATTAATAGATTGATGGAGAAAGGGTTTTGAACCACCATCCAAAAGAAGACAACTCAACTTGTCTCCTCACACTCGTCCGTATTAGATTAAGCTGATCATCCAAACCAGACGTACGAGAATACGCACCCCCAGTAATGCCTTTACTTGTGTGGTTAAGCCCTAATGTCCATAAACTGAGAGCTTAGGGCAGGTAATTTACAACTTGATTTACACACTTACAAGCCAACGTCTTTGTATCTCAACCATACATGTTTACTGCCTTACGTAGCCTCGGGCAGGGCTTTCTCTTGAATCACTAAGCCTGACTTTAGCCTAATTAATCACTCTTATTTAGGGATGGTATTGCGTATAGACGTCAACGAATACAAATACACACACGCACGCAAGAGCACATACGTTCAAGAAAATGTAGCAGGATAGTTAGCCAAACCATTCTATATCTATATAGGCCTTGTAATTTCCTTTTGTTTAACTGAGTCTAAGCTAGAGCCGGATAGTCTTTTCAACCTAGTGTTAACGTGAGATGAGATCCAGCTCTGATGATGTCCATCATATAATGGACCTAAACGAAGGTCCCGTAGACTGAGTCAACCTGAACGTCTTATAAAAGCAAAATGGCTACAGTACATAGGGATTCAGCCGTCCTCTTCTGGTGAGATCGATATACAAATCTCTTCTTCATGCACTTTCATACGAAATAAAAGTCCCCCCAAAAACGTTACCTGAGGAGAATCATCTAAACCCAGTTTCTCTTAATATCTGCATAAGGTAAGTCATGACAACCTTCGATGGAGCGAAAGTAAATGCTAAATCTTCTAATAATTGTGGTAATTGGCTTTCAACCCTTTAACACACAAAATTAGGACACATTTGCAACAATAAAGTTCTTGATAGCTGCCAAGTAACGTGTTATAAACGAATGTAAACTTGAACCTGTGTTTCTAAATAGACAGCAAGGTTGAGACCTTTCAGGCAACATTACAACTCATCAGACTCAGGTGGCACAACTTCAGTTTAAGTTTCTGTTATTCTTTCTGAGTTTTTTTCGATGTTCACAGATCAGTCATCATCGCAGCATGTTCCAACTGTGGGAGACCTATTCCTCATTCATATATTTGACGCCAGCTAGATAAGGCTTTGGGGAGTAGACTGAAAGGGGAAAGGAACTATTGTGAATAATTCAGTAGACTTTAGCAGAATGGACTAGCAGAGGTGAGCTCATTCTATATTACAAATCAGAAAGATGTAACAAAACAAAGTGGTTTATCATCCCTGTGTGTAAATAGAGCTAAGCTAAAAGTATGCTGAAGCTGCGAATAAATGATTGTCCATCTAACGGCGGAAGTTAAGAAGGCAATGTCCAAAATAAGGTCTGACGTCTATCAAACAAAAAAGAAACAAATAGAGTTATGGGAGGGAGACCACGCTGAAAGCATGCAGTATGCAAAAACTTTCTGATATTATTTTTTTTCATTGTACGTAAAAAATCTTATTTGTAAAAAGTAATGAGTAAAAATCGTATGAATAAAATAAGTATTTGTCACTCTCCGGCACCGGTAGTGCCTATGTAGAATAAAAATAGATTTTTACAGGAAAAATGAAAAGCTAAGCCAACTTTTTAGATAAAAATAACAAGATGCATTTTACTTTTGGCTAAGAGAAGTGAAAAATTAAAGGGCTCTTGATTATAAGTGAGAAATATTTACATTAAGAGGATCCTTCAGCAATTATTCATTGATATGTGGAGAAAGCTGACATATTTATAATAGAAAGTGAGAAAAGTAGTCACAATAAAGAGATGACATATATCTCAGACTAACAATCCAACCAGATTAATAAAAAAATAAAGATAAGTAACATTACAAAATACATATACTATGTATATAGGTTATCCACAGTCCATAATTCCTATTTGATGTTCCAGTCCACAAAAGGATTATAAATTAGTGATAAAATTAATAAAAATAGTGTGATGAATGGAAAGGCTAGAGGAATATCTATATTTATCATTACTCAGCTGACTCATTTTTAATAAAGGTTGATGATTAAATGTTCCTTAATATGAGCTTATGAAAAGACGAGGGATTTCCCTTGTTCTGTAAGTGAGCTACAGCTGGTCATGACAAATCCATTATTGTATTCTGGTGAGATCTGTCAGCAAATCTCTTCATCATATATTCATACGAAATTAAAATGCATCAACGAAAAAAATAAGTTGTAAGGAGATTTCCTTAAAGCAATAAACAATATAACTAGGAGTGAGAGCAATACGTATATGTGGATTTAAGCTGCTTGGTAAGATATGGTCAGTAAGGCAAGAAGAGTTGTAAACAAAATGACATCAAATAAAGAGAATACATTTAGCATGTTAAAGCTGCAATTGGCAATTGATAAACTAATTGGGTGGCGGACAAGTAATGAATAAGAGATCCAGCCTACTTGATCCGTTTCGCCATCTTTTCGGAGAATAGATTCTGACGAGCCGTCACATATCCGGGCTACTTGCATTAGTCTGGGTAGCTCAGCCAAAACTGTAGGAGAATCGATATCAAGGGGAGGAGAATATCCGGACGTCAGACCAGCCTGCTCAATTTGAATTGAACTATGCCGACCTATAAACCGTGATCCGGAGGCAGAACCAGAGCCAGGTCGACTGTTTTTACCGTGATATAACGTCGTTGCTGCTAAGCAGGGCAAGTCTGAACGAAGCAAATGTGCGGAAGCTGCGCGCAAAGGTAACCGGAGGTCCTTATCGGGGAACTCCAGTAATTGATCGCCTTGGTCCATTTTTGAAGATGGACTTTCAAAAAGTCTGTATGAATCTTCACTGGCAGACGAGGCATACAGGTCATTGGCATCTTCTAAACGACTATTGGTTTTATCATCCTCCTGTCTATCTGAATCATCTTCATAAGCGAAAACTGGCCGTGAAGGAGATGAAGTAGGTTCAAACGGGTCGAAACAATCATTAGTACAACTAAAAGAGCCAGACAGAACTTCACTCCTAGCATCTTCATATTGGTCCTCGTCAATATCAGCGTCTACGTCACCGCCAAATCGAATGGCACTGTGAGTATCGATTGCAGAATTTGATAATGGAGAGACAAAGACATCAGCGTCGGAGTTAGGAGTTTCATTGAAAAAAGGAGAATCACTACTAGCCTCATAAGACTGCAACCAAGGGCCTGTATGTGCAAAGCTCTCGGAGTTGTCTAAAGGCTCTTGTTTTGGTAGTGTCGAGAAGCTAACAAGGGAATTTAAGACAAATGAACAATATGCAAAATCAGCTTCAACAGAAAAAACTGGCCGAGTAAAACTGGTAGTAATTGTATATGAGGAACTTCAAACTTGTAAGAATAACCTCAAGTTTTGCACTATAATAATAAATCAAAGGGCATGATTTCACAATTTCGTAAATTTAACTGTTATACTAGGATATTCATATGCAAAGAGAATTTTTAAGCTTGAATCATGGGAATAAAACTGAGAAAGGATATTTGTGAGAATAATTTTAAATATCACCGATAAAAAACGAATGTGTGGTGAATAAATATCAGATGTGAATAAGATATGATGTGTAATAAAAATTCAAAATAAAAGAAATATAACGACAAGATATTAGGAAGTTTAAATTAAATAACTTCAAGAAATAAATATTGTAAGTTTGAATTATCCATTAAAAGGCAATTATATGCAAGTAATAACTAATAAAAAAAGTGGTCTCTTATAAATACTTTTATTCGTGGATGAAATGAAATTTGGATAATAAAATATATTTGGTAGTAGTATTTATGCAAATTAAATTTTCATCGTATCATAAGACAAACTAGCAGTTTGAGTAGAGCAAGGCATATTAGGAAATAAGGTCAAAATTCACATTTCAATTCATTTATAATAGGAGTCTTCTATCAACGGAAATCCAGTGAAAACGGTCAGTGTAAATCAAACCAAAAAGTAGATAGATGATCCAACTCGATAATGAAAATTGTTTTAAACCAGCTCCTTTTTTTCGATAGTAAAGTAAATGAAAAATGAATCAGCGATACAAATTAACAGTTAAGGATAGGGTATCCAGCTAATGAGCTGTGTAATAAAATAAGGTAAGAGTAGGATCCATTAAATATTTGCATCAGACTTTAAAATCATCCTATCAAGAAAAAAATAAAGACTGATAATTATGAATTCGGTTTATGTAAAAAGAAATGCATGCGAGTTTATATGAACAGAAAAAGTTGTCTACAAAAGAATGCAATTTTAGGCTTCATTTGGAACAAGATTGTTAGATGTTAGAGAAGTGAGAAAAACAGAAAATCTATGAAAAATATTGCATAAAAAACACAGGAAGAAAAATTACTTTATCATCCTGCCTTGAACCTTCATAATTTCAAACAATTGCCAAACAGTGCCAAAAGCCTTAATAAATACGGGAGCCTGGCTGCATGGTTCGACATAAGTAAGTATATTCTAAGGCACTCACCATGAATAACATTAATCTTTATTTCAGCATCCAGGGATTCGGAAAATATAAAGTAAAATGCTGAAAACATATGGCTAAAGCATCTTGCAAAATTGATACATTCCACCTATCGTATAGGGGTACATGAGGACGGCAAAGGAAGTTCCCCACAGAAAACAAGTGGATTTGCTTTAGTTGCAAATTGATAAATAGCACAAGATAAATAAAATTAAAAATCTTTCTATTGATGCCAAAAAGCTTAGGAAAACAGTTTTAAATAACGATTTAATAGGAAACAAATGAAAATAGGTCATTAGGAATAATAAAGAATGGTTTAAAACAAAAGTATGCAAAATGTAAGGGACCTACATGAGGCTACCATCAGATCCAAAAGACACACATTCTCTGCCGTTAGGATGAAATGCGATGAATTTGATAGTAGCAGTCGATTCATGTGCCTATAATTTAGAATATGAAAATTATTTAGACATTGGTTTAAATAAAACCTATGAAAAGTATTAATAAATCAATCATTTGAAGAAAAAGAGAAAAATTAAAATATAAAGGTAAAAAGACTAGTAACTAAATGATGGTAATAAAATAAACATGCTATAATGGTAAAAGTACGTAAAAATAAAAAAATCTAGCATAAAAAATGTACAGATAAGAAAACTTGAGCTAATTCGCATAAGGGAATAAGTATAGAATTTGATGAAAAATTGGATGAAAAAAGTAAAATGAACAGAAAAGCAAATAACTATAAATACTCAATAAATATTAGGATGAGCTTCTTCAAAAAAACGTATTTAAGCACATGTTGAATATAGTATTCTTAGATTCAGACTGTCATTGCCAATTAAGGCAAAGTTAGCGTTAGGCATAGAAACTATATAGAATCTGACAATGAGAAAATTATATGATCTTAATAAATCTTATTGAAGTGT